CAGGGGTGAGCTAATGGACTGAAAACAGGATTGTTTGAAATGCATATATACTTAGACCAGTTCATTTCACTACCCTCACCCCTGCAGAAAATAGAAGGTAGATGCTCTGGAGAGACTTGAGTTTTAGTGATCTGGTTGGAGGTGTGGGGGGAGCAAAGAGATAGGACCTAGCATTATGCAAGATGAAAAGTTGTTTCTAGGTAAAGACAGGACTCTTGAAGAGCTTCACTCCAGGTTAGGTAAAGAACATTCAGCAAACCTGGCCACCAGTAAAAGGAAACAAGGAAATAGGTCTGCCTTTGCCTGGATCCTGGCAAAGAAAATATTCTCCCCCCGCCTCCAATCTAAGTTCCAACTACTTGATTCTGCCATTTTAGTGGAAAAGCAGCCTTAGGCCATATGTAAAAATTAGCGTGGCTCATTAACTGGCTGTGTTCCAATTAAACTGTATTAATAGACCGTGAGATTTTCACATATCACAAAACATTCTTCAACCATTTATAAATGTAAAACTAGTCTTAACTCTCTGGCAATACAAAAAGAGGTGGCAGGCTGGATTTGGCCTGTGGGCTATAGTTTGCTGACCACTAAACTAGGTGTGTTAAAAATGTAAGCGTGAGGGGCCAGCCCGGTGGCGCACTGCTACAGTGTGCTGCTTGGGAAGCGTGGTGGCGCTCCCGCCGAGGGTTCGGATCCCACATACAGACCGGCCGCTCACTGGCTGAGCGAGGAGCGGGGGCAATGCCGAGGGTTGCGATCCCGTAGCCGGTCCCGGTCCGGTGCGGGCGCAACACTGAGGGTTGCGGTCCGTTGCCGGTCATGAAAAAAGACAAAAAGACACACACACACACAAAAAAATGTAAGTGTGAACATTCACCTGTTTCTCTCAACCCAAAGGAAGACAAGAAAGGAAGGGGAAAAAAGAAGGAACAGAGCAGACCAATAGAAAGCTCAAAATAATGTTAGAAATAAATAACTATAGTAAATGTAAAAGGACTAAACTTACTGGCTAAAGGGCAGATTGCCAGAATGGATTTTTTAAAAATCCAATTATATGTTGTTGTTGTTGTTTGTCTTTTTTGTGACTGGTAAGGGGATTGCAACCCTTGGCTTGGTGTCGCCTGCACCGCACTCAGCCAGTGAGCGCACCGGCCATCCCTATATAGGATCTGAACCCGAGGCGGGAGTGTCGCTGCACTCCCAAGCGCCACACTCTCCCAAGTGCGCCACGGGGCCGGCCCTATATGTTGTTTTAAAAGAGACATACCCCAAACATAAAGGTACAGAAAAGTTCAAAGTAAAAGAAAGGAAAAGGTTTTACCAAGAAGATACAATACTTAGAAAAGAAAAGCTGGTGTCTTTTTGACAAAATATACTTTGTCATACTTCATTGTTAAGAAAAAGGAGGGACTCACTTGATGATAAAAGGAGCCTCTTTTCTTAAACCAAGAATATATAATAATTCTATGCTTGAATGACCTTTACAACATAAATAGATACATAGATATAAATTTGAGTAGCTACATTGATATTTATCTACATATGGTAAAAAATATAATAGAACTGCAAAGAGAAACTGATAAATCCACCATTATAAGGAGATATTTTAATGTATTTGAATGGTTGAGATATCAAGCAGGTAATAATTTGGTAAGAATACAGAAAATTTGATTCCAGCAGTTACCAAGCTTTTTCTATTGGATATATAGAGAACCTTATACCCCAAAATTACTTGTATAAACATTATTCTCAACATTATTTAGAAAGCTTATTAAAGTTGGCCATATACTAGGCTAAAAAGCAAGCCTCTTCAAATATCAAAAATCAGTGTAAGACAAATTTATCCAGGTAGCAAAGAAGACTCATAATAGAAAAAAAAATTAAACTTAAAGCTGAATATTGAAAACATCTGCAAATAGTACTAGTAGATTGCAGCTAAAGTAGTGCCTGGAGGCAAATGTAGAGCATTAAATTATTTATTAAGATAAAAATCTGAGAATGAGTTAGATGGCCAACATTATTAGAAAAAGAGCACAAAAAACCTAAAGGAAAAGAGGAACATGTCATTCCAATTTTAGACAAATTCTTTCAAAGAGAAAGAATATATACCCTGGCTTATTTTAGGAGGGTAGTATAGCCAGACAAGTCCAGCATGAGAAAAGAAACTTATAGGCCATTGTCATTTATGAATATACATTAAAAAAAAGAAAAACTTAACATATTAGGAAACCAAATCCAGCAAGTTTTTACAAAAGGCTTTAAAACATTATTACCAAGTTTAGATTTATTCTTGGATTGCAAGCAAGTCCAATTTTCATAAAGAAGGCAATGTTCAAGTTAACCTATACATTTAATGCAATTCCAATCAAAACCTCAAAAGCTTTTTTTATAGAGCTTGACAAGCTGACTATAAAGTTTTTCTTAAAGAGTGAAGAGCTAAGAATAACCAAAAATAATTGTGAAAAATAACAAGTTTTTTTGGGAGGGGACTTTATTAGATATTCATACTTATAAAGTCTTTATCTTTTTATAAAGTAACTAATTTAGATAATGTGCTGTAAACATAGTGATAAAGAAATCAACGTAGCAGACTAGGAAGCCTGTAAACTGGCGCACCTATATATAGGAAATGTATGACAGGCGGAGGCAGTGTTGCAGATGGGGAGGGGGGGAGGAAGGACTGTTTGATAGATCGTGCTTGAACACTGAGTTATATAAATTGGGGGAAAAAAAGGTTTGGATTTCTACCTCAAAATAAGTAGGAATACCTAACAAATATAAATTAGAGAGGTAGATTATAGAGACTTAATGTGAAAAAGCAAACTTAAAAAAATTTATGAGAATAGAAAATGAGCTTATGAACTCATGATAGGAAGAGATTTCTAAAATAAGGCATGCAGCACAAATCAGAAAAAGATTGATAAATGCAACTATATATTTAAAGCTTTTATCTATCAAATAATACCATTAAAGTGGAAAAAAAATTCACACGATGAGAGAAGTGGTCTGCTATGCATCTAGAATATATAAGAAATAGAAAATTGCACAATAGATTAGTGCAAATCACAAGATAGGAAACCTGGCCAATAACTGTATGAAAAGCTGTTCTGACCCACCTGTAACAATTAGATAAATGCAAATAAAAAATAAGATGAGATACATTTCAGCCCTTGGACTGGCAAAAATTAGAATATTGACAAGTACTAAGTAATGGTGTATTAGTCCGTTTCTGTTGTTTATAAAAAAATACCTGGCACTGGGAAATTTGTAAGAAAATGAAATTTATTACTTACAGTTTCAGAGGCTGGGAAATCCATAGTCCAGGGAACACATCCGGTGAGGTTCTTCTTTGGTGGTGACTTTACAGAAATGCAGGGGTCTCACATGGCAGAAAATGGTAGAGCAGAGAGAGAGAGAGACTCTCATGTGCTCTCCTTTTAAAGCCCTCAGAACCATGCCCATGGCTATTAATCCATTCATTAGGGCATGGTCCTCAGAATCTAATCACTTCTTCAAGGCTTCACCTTCCAATTACCATAATAGGATTTTCCAACCTCAACAGTTACAGTAGGGATAAGCTTTAATGACTTTTGGGGGCCATTCAATCCACTGCAGAGGGCAGCTATTTGGAACAAATGAGAATGTTCATACACTTACAGTAGGTACACTTCTGGTGTACTCTCCATTTTGGAGAGTAATCTGGCAATGTCTAGTAGTGTTGAAGATGCACATATCTTATGAGTCATCAATCCACTCTTAGCAATTCCTTCAAAATTCTGAGGAAGTTAAATGGTAGAATAAATACATTTTCATAAATGCAAAATCTTTAGAAATTCACCTCCCATGCACCCTTTCTTGGAAACTACTGGAAGATGTGCTTTCAGCAAAATGAGGGAGTAAAACAAGAAAGAGGAAGACATAAAAACCAGGAAATGGGTTCCAACACAGAAGAGTCTTAAGAAAATTCTCAAATGATGACAAATGGAAGTCATAGCACCTGACCAGAAGACACAGAGAGCAATCACTGCTGATTTGATGCTGATTTGAGCAGACATTGGAAGATTCTTGGGAGGACAATGAAACTGACAGATTGTCTGATACATTTGACCACACGGACATTCATATCGAAAGGCATTTTATAGATGCAAAAGAGTATGCGAAGACTTAGCCACAGAGCGTCTTTATTTTGTTCGCAGCTGTATCCACTACAGCCCAGTGCCTGCCACATAGTGAGCATTCAGAAATAATGCAGGAAGGAAGGAGACTGGCCAGAGTGATAAAGCACACCATGGAAAATAGGAGGATGTAATAGATGACAGGAAACAAGGAAAGTCAAAGAATAATTTGATACAACATCTGGGAGCAATTTTGTTGGGTTTGATGGTGAGAGATGTATAGGTGAGAATCAATTATGTAGTTGTGAACGACCTTAAGGAGTTCAGATATTTTTAAATCAGGGCTGTTGCCAACAACAGATATTTTAGATTATATGCCAGTTATCAGATTCCAAACTTTGATGGCCAGTGGTTCTAATCCAGTTGGGCTGTTCATTTATTCAGCTAATATTTAAAAACTCCTCCTATGTATCCAACACTATGTCAGAAGTTGGGATTTTAATGATGAGCACAATGAGATATGGTTTCTGCCCTAATGTCAAACTGTGACTTTATTTGTCCTTCTGTTCAGAATGTTTAGAATGTAGGTGGTTAAAAAAATGGGTGCATCTGGCCTGAATTATTTTCTAAGCCTGTATTCACTCTTACAAAATACAAGATTTTGAAATGTACACTAAGTTTGGAAATTGAAACACATTGCTTTTCATTTCACCAGGAGTTGCTATATACACTAATAAACATTCTCCTAGTTTAATCTTTATTGGAAACGTATACTACCTTGATAACTAAATTTTGTATATCATTCTTCTTGACTGGTGGCCTTTATATGCTCTTCACATGAACTTTGCATAAGTGACTGGAAAATACAGAATACAGTTCATGGTGGGTCCTGTTCAGTATTATCAGGAATGCTCTTTCTCACCTTCCTTTGTTGGTGTCTTTTTGCAGGGATCGTGTTTGCACATTATGGTCCAGTCTGGAAACAGCAGAGGAAATTCTGTCATTCAACTCTTCGTCATTTTGGCTTGGGAAAGCTTAGCTTGGAGCCCAAGATTATTGAGGAGTTCAAATGCGTGAAAGAGGAAATGCAAAAACATGGAGAAGACCCCTTCAGTCCCTTCCCCATCATCAGCAATGCTGTCTCTAACATCATTTGCTCCTTATGCTTTGGCCAGCGTTTTGATTACACCAATAGTGAATTTAAGAAAATGCTTGGTTTTATGTCAAGAGGATTAGAAATCTGTCTGAACAGTCAGATTCTTCTGGTCAACATATGCCCCTGGCTTTATTACCTTCCCTTTGGACCATTTAAGGAATTAAGACAAATTGAAAAGGATATAACCAGTTTCCTTAAAAATATCATCAAAGACCATCAAGAGTCTCTGGATGGAGAGAACCCTCAGGACTTCATAGACATGTATCTTCTCCACATGGAGGAGGAGAGGAAAAATAATAGCAGCAGTAGTTTTAATGAAGAGTACTTATTCTATATCATTGGGGATCTCTTCATTGCTGGGACTGATACCACAACTAACTCGTTGCTTTGGTGCCTCCTGTATATGTCACTGAACCCTGATGTACAAGGTAATTAATGGATGTTTCCTTTATTCATGGCAAAACAAGGTTATTTAAATCAAGATTTAAATCAGATCACTCAGTGATCTGGTGGCTTCTGGCAGTAAGCAATGTCTTTAGGCCAGAAAAAAAATAAATAAATACTTGCATCTCACTGAGAGTTGGTAAGGTGTTAACAGTGAAACCCCAAGTTTCTAGACAGTAGGAGTAATGTCATAACTTGCTTACCCCTGCTTTAAACTCTTACAGGTCTGATTCTGTATGAAATCTATGCTGGTGAAAGATCTTTAGAGAAGAAGAACATGTTAGAGCTGAAGGGAGCCACAGTGCTCATCTGAACCCATGTTTTGAAAATGGAGAACAGAGAAGTTCTGTGACTTTCACAAGGTCACAGAGCTAGTTCCACCCCATCTGTATCAGTAGATAGTGAACATCAGTGGCAGTTCATAGTGGAAGAATACATAGGAGGGTGGTGTATTAGTTTTTATTTCTGCTATAACAAATACAAACTTACTAGCTTAACTACGCACATCTGTTATCATGTAGATCGATGCATTAGAAGTCTGCCACATCTCACTGGGCTAGAAATCAAGATGTTGGCAGGGCTGCATTCCTTTCTGAAAGCTGTAAAGGAGAATCCATATCTTTGCTGTTTCCAGCTTCCTTGGCTTGTGGCCTCCTTTCTCTTATCTTCAAAGCCATCAGTGTTGTATCTCTCTGACCATTCTTCTATAGTTTCATCTCTGTCTGATTCTAAACTTAACTGGAAAAGGTTCTATGGTTTTAAAGCCCATGTACTTGGGCATGCCCAGAAAACCCAGGATAATCTCCTCATCTATAGGTTCTTAATTTAATTGCATCAGCATAGTCCCTTGCGCCATGTAAAGTATCATATTTACAGGTTCCAAGGGATTAAAGTATGGACATTTTGAAGGGGCCATTATTCTGCCTACCACAGATGGGATTGTACCTACCTGTATTAGTTAAGTATTGCTGAGTAATAAATTATCCCAAAATGTAGCAGCTTAAAGCAACCACTATTTTTTTAACTCAAATCATTTCTGAGGGTCAGGAATCTAGGAGCAGCTTAACCTGGATGGTTCTAGTTTATGGTTTCTCTTGAAGTGTAGGCAAGATGTTGGCTGGGGCTGCAGGTCTCTATAGACTTGACTGGGACGGAAGAGTCTATTCCAAAATGGCCAGAGGCCACAGTTCCTTATCCCTCTGACCTCTCCATAAGGCTGCTTGACTTGGCGGCTGCCCTCCTCCAAGGTGAGTGACCCCAGAGAGAGTGAATGTCAAAGACGGGAGCCACAGTGTCTTTTGTAACCTAATCTCAAGTGGCATGCCATCACTTCTCCCTAATTCTATCGGTCACATCGAGCAACTTGGTACAGAGTGAGAGGGGACTGCACAAGGATATGAACCCCAAGAGTGGGAATTGTTGAGGGCCATCTTGGATTACATGTTGTCACAGTTGGCTTAGATACCATGTTCATGTGAGAATATGGTTCAGGGTGCTTCCCAATCCAGAATGCTTTCTTCTTTGCCCCTCCATTTGTTCTGCTCTCCTCCTTCAAAGTCTCAGGGTGGGCACAGGCTCCTTGGGTCCAGCTGTCTCTACATGGCATAACCTGACGGGGGCTTCACTTCCCTGAGGCCTGCTCAGCCAGTTTAGCAGTGGTGTGTAAGTGGCGAGGCGAAGCATGCTCAACTCTCCTTCACTTATGCTCTGTTTATTCCTTCCCTTTTGTGTAGAAAAGGTTCATGAAGAAATTGAAAGGGTCATTGGTCCCAACCGAGCCCCTTCCCTCATGGACAAGGCCCAGATGCCCTACACAGAAGCCACCATCATGGAAGTGCAGAGGCTAACTGTGGTGGTGCCTTTTGCCATTCCTCATATGACCTCAGAGAAAACAGGCGAGTCCGGGGTCTTCTTCCTTTGAATACCCTTGAGGAAAGCCCAACCCCCCAATCCAGTGGAGTTGTATGGTGACCACCACCTAGCTTGTTCCTTCTGAGGACTTAGCATTGTGTCGTAGATAAGGAAATGTCCAGGGAATGTGTCAACCCGCAGTTGTACATTATTAGTTGTAATGGCATTCCAGCACTGGTTAGCTTTACTGATAGCTCTCCAGTCTTCAGAGCACACATGCTTATTCCAGCAAAACAAATCACGCTGCAATTTAAATAGGCGGTTTGGCAGAAAAAACTCCAGAATTAACAAAGGTTCCTCTCAGTCTTCTTCATGGAGGTCAGAAGAGCTAATCTAAATGTGGAATTAAGGATTTACCTAGAAATTATTCTATGTCAGTTGTTTCAATTTTGTAACTAAAGCATATGTATTAAAGAATTAGAAGAATCCATCTGATTCTAAGGTTCCTGTTTTAACCTGTCACCAACGGGAAATGTTTACTTGGTCTTGTTCAGACTCTGTTTTTACATGACTATTAACAAGGAATTTACCATCTTTGGAGATAGCCCATAATGTAATGGGCTTGAATGTAGTTATGAGACAGTTGTAGGAGGCAGTAGCTTATAAATGACACTGGATCACTTAACATTATTTAATGCAAATTAGATGCACTCTGTGTACAGTATCTTTTGGGCATTGTTTAAAGTGCATATTAACTTGTCTTAGTTTAACTTCCTCAACATATTGTTGTGTGGCCATAAAAGATTTTGTAAACTGTTTCATATAAATATTAGGAATTTGCAATTCTTAGGGAATTTGCAATTCTTAGGAACACACTATTATTTCTCTTTTAGTGTTTTCTCTTAATTTTAATACATTTATGGTTTGATTTAATTCATTAACGCAACATCCACTGGAGCATCTCGTGTGCCCTGTCTCAGACTAGGTCCTGGGATAATGTGGAGAGAAGGATGCCAATTGATAAGATCTCATCCCTGCCTTCAAGTACCTCAACATTTATTTCAGCCAATTAAGATGCTAGGTATATAAGTTGATTTTTTTTCAGGAAGAACTATTAGTGACAATGTGTTGTATGATGCTGTGGGTTTTTTTGTTTGTTTTAGTGCTCCAAGGGTATACCATTCCTAAAGGCGCATTGATCTTACCCAACTTGTGGTCAGTACACAGAGACCCAGCCATCTGGGAGAAACCAGATGATTTCTACCCTAATCGATTTCTGGATGACCAAGGACAACTTCTTAAAAAAGAAACCTTTATTCCTTTTGGGATAGGTCAGTTAAACTTTTATTTTTTTAATGGCATAATTTTAAAAAAGTAGAACTAAAAGAATCTTTTATTATTTCATGTTGTTCTAAAACTTTCTTAGGGTCGGCCCGTGGCTCACTCGGGAGAGTGTGGTGCTGATAGCACCAAGGCCAAGGGTTCAGATCCCTACATAGGGATGGCTGGTTGGCTCACTTGGAAGAGTGTGGTGCTGACAACACCAAGCCAAGGGTTAAGATCCTCTTACTGGTCATCTTTATTAAAAAAATAATAATAGGGCCGGCCCGGTGGCACACTGCTACAGTGCACCGCTTGGGAGCGCGGCGGCGCTCCCGCCGAGGGTTCGGATCCCACATACAGACTGGTTCCCGCTCACTGGCTGAGCGAGGTGCGGGCGCAACACCGGTTGCGATCCCGTTGCTGGTCCCGGTCCGGTACGGGCGCGACACTGAGGGTTGCAATCCATTGCCGGACACGAAAAAAAAAAAAATAATAATAATAATAAAATAAATAAATAAAACTTTCTCTCTTGGCAAGGTAATAGAAGAGATAATTTAGATGATGCATCTCCACTATGTTTATTTCAGATTTTAAGAACAAAATAAAGGTATTTGATTTTAAATCTTTAAATAAGACTAGAAATCTTTTTTTTCTGAGCTGCCCAGGTGATTGTGTCCCAGTGAACTGTTGGAGTTAAGAGCAACTTCTGACCTTCTGCTGGGCTGATGGGTGAGAGGGTGGGTTCTCTAATCTCACCAGTCCCTCTTTTAGGTTCCTAGATTAGGACACATGGGATTCTTTCTATGGAAAAAGGAGGGCTCCAGAGATTTTTATCTGACTTTTCCCTCCTTAGTCGTCCAGGTAAAAGTGAAAGAAAGAGAGAAGTAGACATGGAAGGGACAGGGTCACTGCCACATTGGATCTGTCTCTAGTTCCTGTCTAGGATGAGCATAAGTTTTTATGGGTAGGAGTTAAAATGTAAACTTGGTATGTAAAAATTCTGGTCAGCATATACTGCAGGAGGCTATCTGGTATATGTGGCAACTTTATTTTAAAACTCTATATCTGCATTTAAAATACTCAGTTTAGATATTTAGTATAAATATAAACTCTTTTGGCAACTGGCTAGTATGGGGATGAACCCTTGACCTTGGTGTTATCAACATCATAGTCTAACCAATGGAGCTAACTGGCCAGTCCATAAATATGTATTTTCTTAAATAGAAAAAGGGATGGTATTATAATCCTTATTTTTTTTCTGATCTCATTTTTAGGGAAGCGGGTGTGTATGGGAGAGCAGCTGGCCAAGATGGAATTATTCCTGATGTTTGTGAGCCTAATGCAGAGTTTCACATTTGCTTTACCTAAGGATTCTGAAAAGCCCATCCTGACTGGAAGATTTGGTCTAACTTTAGCCCCACATCCATTTAATATAATAATTTCAAAGAGATGAAGAGCATCTCCAAGAAGAGACGGTTTAACAGATGTATAAATACATATCCTTCCAAACAGATTCTTCCTACTCCAGTTGACAGTAGATCCAGCAACTCAGAGGATCCAGGTTAGGCTCAGATTAGAGAGAGATTGGAAAGAGGGTAGAGCACATGGGAGCTTTCAGCCTGGAGGATTCCTCAGCAGGATACTTTAGCTATTTGAGTAATACGTGTCTGTGATTTAAGGGATGGGGACCAAAGTACCAAATCAGGAAGCAGATATAAATTTAGTCTCACTGGCTTCCACGAATGAACATATCTTCTCATCTCTCAGTGCCTCAGTTATCCCACGTGTAAAATGATGGTAACAAAACTTGCTTTCTCTCTATCTCTAAGCACTTAGTAAGGTCAAATGCCTCATATCTTTTCTGACATCACCGAAACACTAAGTTCTGGAGAAGAAATTCAGGATTAGGAGAAAATCTGCCTGCTGCCTTTTTAAGGCCTGTGACAACATGGAAGTGGTATTCAGCCTTGACCACTCTGCAGAGAGAGATGTGGATTTAGGTTATATGGAGGTGGGGCTTTCCTCAGCACAGATTTAATGTCAGTTTCTTTGGGCTTGTTCTATTATTATTATCTTTTCATTTATGACTTTAGTTTTTACTTTTTGTAGACATGAGATGAAGTGGACCCTTGTCCAGTATATTGAGGAAAAAAGAAATTAGGATTTTAAAAAATCCCCTGTAAGGTTATTGTCCAAATTTATATGTCTGTCTGCTACTTAACTACATAAACAGTGAGCCTGGCTAAAAAAGTGGCTTCTGGCAAAATTCCTTTCTGCTGAGTGTACTTGCAAAGACGCAGCTCTCCCTTTTGACTTGAGCCCTGAATGGTGAGCTCTGGGATTTTGATACTGGAATTCATCAGGAAGGGATTCTTCTTTCAAACTATACTAAACATTCCTTTCCTATTCTCCCTCCCACCAGACCCAGCGTAACTGATCCTTGAATACTGTGAAAGACAGGAAGGCATTCTTACTCTTTATTAAGATAATTATTTGTTTTTTAATAAAGAAGGCCCCTCTAGAAAAGCAGTTTTCAACAGGGATAGTAACCTCCTTTGCGGGGGGGGGGGGGGGGGGG